GTGTGTGTGTGTGTGGTTCATCAGAGATTGTTGATATCGTCTCTGAGCTTGTGTTTGTGTGTAGGTCCCACATTCGCAGCGGCGTCGTGTCTGTCAGGTGCTCGTCAGGGCAGCGTTCATCTGTACAAAGCGGATCAGTTTCCTCGAGGCTCTCTGGGTCCTGCTGACTTCCTGTGGAGGCCCCGGGTCCCTGACGCCTCAGACAGACAGCTGTGGATCTGGATCCATCCGGCCCTTAAACAGGTCAAACACTGAGGCCAGAAACAGACTCGGATGCAAATGCTTGACCAACATGTTACAAGCGTGTGGTTTCTCATGTGATGCCACTGGATGTTGTTTATAGCTTGTATTTTGTCGTAATGAAATTTGTTTTATATATATATATATATATATATTTGTATGTATAATGGGCGTGTGTGTGTGTGGCAGGACATGCTGTCGGAGCTGCAGCTGGTGTGTCGTGTCCGTCTCGGAGGAGTCTTGTCCCGCCGTGGAGCCGTCTTCAGAGAGGAAGAGGAAGAGAGACGAAGGAGACGCTGAGCAACCCTCCAAAAGGCTCTTGGTGGACGGGACGAGGCCCGCCCTGGCCCCTGTGCGCTGGCAGTCCCCTGACACGGCCATCACGTCAGGTGCCATAAATACACTGACCTGCTTTAGAAACGCGTCGGTGCACGTCCTCATCATTAGTCATCTAAAGCAGCAGTGTTTCTCAGCACTGCACTGGCCGCTTTGGTCCTGCACTGATTTCTCTGGTGTTTTGAGTTGTGATGCTGCATGTGCTGAATTAGCTCCAGTGATCAGATGTTACTGTAAAGTATGTGTTTGCTCAGGGTTAGGTATAGCTGTGAAATGTGATCTTTCCTCATATCCTGTGTAGTGACCTGACCATGGAGATCGTGTGCTATCGTCTGATTGGTCCGCTGGCCCACACGGTGCTCACAGACACACTCCATCCAGCCAGTGAGGTGAGAGACTGCTGATGACATCACACTCGCGCTGTCATTGGTGCGCTGATGATTCATTCTGGTGTCTGTAGGAGACGGAGGCGTCCAATCGCAGTGCAGATGAGGCCGGTGTGAGCGTCCATCAGCAGCAGACAGACATATTCTTCCTACTGAGAGGTGAACGAGACTATCGTCACATGACTCCAGTGCTGCTTTATGTGGAGACAGAAGATGTCTTGTGGTGTGTCTTTGTTTGAATAGCTCAGTGTGTGTGTGTGTGTGTGTGTTTTACAGGAGTGTGTTCGACAGCAGAGCCCCCAGCAGGCTGTGTGTTGGGACTGACTGTAGATGATCCCAGACTCACTTTAGCTCAGAAACGTGGTAAATCTGTACCTGACCTGCAGCAGAGCGCAGGTACACATGAATCCACTGCGTCACGCAGGAGTGTGTGTGTTTGACCCTGAGCTCAGGGAGCCGCTGCGTCTCCATGCAGATGAACCAGGTTCGAATCCTGGCAGGGCCTGAGACTCTGTCTCTTCTCACACACACAGCACTGTCTCACTGCACCAGAGTCAAACACATCAGGACCGTTCACGCTGTGATTGTTTTCATGCTCAGAGTGTGTGTGTGTGTCTGTGTGTACATCTGTGTGTGTGTGTGTGTGTATACGTCTGTGTGTCTGTCTGTCTGTGTGTCTGTCTGTGCGTGTGTGTGTACATCTGTGTGTGTGTGTGTGTGTACATCTGTGTGTACATCTGTGTGTGTGTGTGTGTGAGTGCGAGTGCGTGTGCGTGTGTGTGTCTGTGTGTACGCGTCTCTGTGTGTGTGTGTGTACGCATCTCTGTGTGTGTGTGTGTACGCATCTCTGTGTGTGTGTGTGTACGCATCTCTGTGTGTGTGTGTGTACGCATCTCTGTGTGTGTGTGTGTACGCATCTCTGTGTGTGTGTGTGTACGCATCTCTGTGTGTGTGTGTGTACGCATCTCTGTGTGTGTGTGTGTACGCATCTCTGTGTGTGTGTGTGTCAGGAGCTGAACAGGATGAGGACTGAGCTGCTGGTTCCAGGTTCGAGGCTGTCGGATGCTCCTCAGGCTGCTGTTCCTCTGCTGCTGGTTCATCAGGGCAGTCGTGTTCGGGGCGAGGAGCGTCTGCACTGGGGCTCCGTCTGGGATCTGCTGCTGCCCAAGGGCTGGGGAATGGCATTCTGGGTCCCTCTGGTGCATACTGACACGGTCTGCGTCTGGTCCACCTCGTTCTGACACTTCATTTTGATCACATTCTTTCCATTATTGTGAAACCCGCGAGACACAACAAAAACACAGCTCCGATGACAGCGTCCTCCATCCTTCTGTTGTTAACGTTGTTCTAATTTGTTTCCGTTGTTGAACGCTGCGCACAAATGACGACGCTGTCGACCGACTTACGTCACTTCTTAGTACACACTGTCGGTGCGAAGGCAACCCTTTAAATGGTACTGGAAAATATGTCCATTATTGTGAAACCCGCGAGACACAAAAACACAGCTCCGATGACAGCGTCCTCCATCCTTCTGTTGTTAACGTTGTTCTAATTTGTTTCCGTTGTTGAACGCTGCGCACAAATGACGACGCTGTCGACCGACTTACGTCACTTCTTAGTACACACTCTCGGTGCGAATGCAACCCTTTAAATGGTACTG